GCCTATCATCATTTTTCATCCAGTTCTAAATATGTGTTCAATATTTAATTCTATGTCAAACTACTGAGTTTCTTAAACTAGAAATAAAAAATAAGATTTCACTAGCTATAAGAATTGCAAATATAAAGTATTAGTAACAATCATAATATTATTGTTATTATCAAAGATTTTCTCCTATTTAACAATAACCTCTTTAGATATGTGAATAAATTTAATACCCTTCTTGTCTGAACTCTGTTAATTCAGGATAACAATTCCCTAGAGATGTGACATCATTGAAAGTTTTGATTTTTCTAGACTTTATCTAGATTATTTTATTTCTCTATCTTTCTCTTTATGCCTCTATTCCTTACTGTAGATAGCTGTTTTTTGTATACAGATTTTAATGAAGACTTTTTTTATTGTTGCCAAAATAGATTTTCATTTTTTGCTCTCTCCAAAAAATGTTAAATGCGCAGATGGAAAAATTTATACATATACAAATATAATATAAACTAAATTATAATGAAAAAAAGACAAAATGAATGAAGAATGTCCCTACACTTCTTTTTTTTCAATTTGTCTTATTATTATTATTGTTGTTATTATATAAGTAGTATAAGTGGGTATTCAGTAGTTACTCAATCAAAGTTTTGTATTTGATCTCGTGTCAAAAATTTTGAAATCAGTGATTCAAAGAATAAATAAATTCAAATTTCCGAACTGATTTATGAACAAAAAGGATAAGAGATAAAGTTCAATGTATCAATAAAATAAATTGAAGGTCATTAAGATTATATGTTCAATTGATTATTATTAATAAATTATTCAAGGTCAAATAATCAAAAAAATTTAAATGAACTATTTGACCTCTGATTAGTTAACTAATGAATTGATTGAATATTTAATTATTAATTTCAAATGAAATATTTACTGTTTAATAGAATGATTGTAAAAAGTGTTTTTTTTTAAAAAAATCTCAATGAATATCATTGTATTTGTGGTAATTACTTAAATTTACTAATAAATGTATTATCACTTATATTGGTTTGAATGAGTGAAAAAAATCTTTCATATTTCGAAAACTATCTGAATAAACAATTAACGTACAGGGTTTTGATTGAGATTATATTAGACCATACTAGGATGAAACAACCGTCCAGTACTTCAAAGTTATCAATGATAGTTTGACATTGATCGATTCATAATCTTAAACAAAATTCAACAAGCGTACTGATGTTGTCGTGAGTGAAGACTTTTTGGGGTAAACCAATTCATTATTTTATGCATATCATACAGTACCTCTGTAAAATATGAAAATCATATACAAATCTTTCTTTAGTTGTCTCCATCATTCCTCTAATTCTGTTGTTATTCTGAATGCTCTCCGTTTTCCATTTTTCTGCTGGTTTACACCCTACTTCTTATTCCTGCTACATACTAATTATATCTATCCGCATTGGAAGCGCACACCAACATGTGTGTGTGGAAGTTGAGGACGCTACCAAATTTCTTAAACTAAACTAGATGGAGTAAGATTCAAACCCGATACATACTTATTGAAACTCAAGTGATTTAACCACAAATAATCTTATAAAATCTTCACCAAGTGTTTTATAAAATCAATCACCCTTAAATAAGTTGAATTTCTGAACTTGTTCGACATGTTGATAAGGTTTTGAACCTAAAACTATACATTCTTTAATTATAAACTTATAACTTGGGTCAAACAGTACTCTCAAAATATGCTAATTTCATTTTAGTTAAAATATTCCGACTAAACCTTTATGATATAAATGATTTTTAATCTTTTGGAATTTTTAAACATGGAAGAATCTTTGTTAAAGATTAGAAAATAAACACCATATCTATGAGAAAGGAAATCAGCCCTCTCTCGGCAATACTGTTTTATAGAAAATATTTTTACATACTGTTACGGACAATGAAACAGAATTTGATATTCTAGAAATGTACACTAACCACATATAATTTACTTGACAAACTATAACTTGTAGAGGAACTATCAAAAATAATAAATTTCTCTTACCATTTCATTATGTGATAATGTGTATAAATATTTATTCTCATAATAAATGGCTTTCACTATATTCCAAATCATTTCTTAATCCAAGACGTTTTTATATACATTTACCATTTCTACGAAAAGACTATAGATTCATTTCTGTATGCTTGAAATCCAATTTACAAACTTAACAATTTTTTAGATCTGTTTACAAAAGTTTCTTTTAATTGTTCATTTTCGTTCATAACTTTCAAATTTTAACATAATTCATGAAGTTTATGAACAAACTATGGGATCAAAATATATTTCTTTTTGAAAGTTATTAAGATCAAGTGGATAATGCTTCCATGTCAACTACAAGTTTTTCAATAACAAGTTAGTGAATTTAAAGAAAAAAATGTGACGTATATAAGCTTTTCAGTTGAGTTCATTTGACTGTCGATTCACTATTGTTGAACTGATCTTAACTATTTGTTTAACATGTACGGTTCTACTTATAATTTCAATTTGTTTTAATCTCCAGGGTAATTTCAGGGGTCACTAACAGTTAACAGAGTCTAGCTTTTTAGTGCAAACCTGTTATTGCTTATTCAGCTTAGTATAATAATAATGATATGATATAAGTAGTTAACAGTAAATATATACTGGTATATTCGTACTGATTTTATTGGCCCTCTGTTATTCTGAGTTTCTCCTAAAACCTATTATCCAGTATATATATACTAATATTAATAATAATTAACCAAAAGATTTATGCAAATTGCATATATATATATATATATATTTGTTTATATATGTAATCATCATTAATGATTAAAATAAGCTTTAATATACACGTATAAATAGAGAACAAAAAATTCAACCACATTGATTATTATTATTATTTCTGTTATGAGTTGTAGACTATATTGTTTTTTTTATCTTACTATCTTGTTTATCTTTCAGTGATACGTATACTTTTACCATGTAATTGTTAATTATCATGGGTATTATTTTAAAATAAGTGAACATTGATAATTTCTTAATACTGTATATGTAATAATTCGGTGAAAAAAGGAAATATTTTACAAATAATTTGAATACATTAAAAGATAGAATAATTTTAGTTCATCATCATAATAATAAGATTATCATTATTATTACACTATCCATGTAGTAACAGAATAATGAACAAGATTTCTCACTGTCACATTTAATCTCTTTAACGTCTTTAATTAATAAATAATTTTAAGAAATTAATTATTCAATTAAAAATTTAATACATTATATATTGTAACATTTAACTGAAGAAAATGAACGAAATAAAAGATGACATACACCAGGTAGATTGTAAACTAAATTAATACTTCATGGAATAAGCTACTATACGCTTATATATATGTTAATATTAAAAATTAACAGTGATAAAAGGATGTGTTTTATAAAATATTTTATATAGTTATATATATATATAATAAATCATTTAAACAAAACTGGAATTATGATTATCTCGGGTAAGTTTTTGTTCTGATGTACTAACGGAATGTTGATTACATTTCAATGGTGTATATGTGTGATTCATTGAATTGTTCACTTGTTCATTACCAGTTAAATAAATTGATTTTGTTTGATCATTTAAATTGTTCTTCATTCCATTATTATCAGTATTAACATCATTAACATTATTATCATCTGCTGTATTATTAGTATTAAGTGGACAGACAGCGATATGAGGTGTACTACGTGAAGTAAATGTATTCGATGAAATTACATTATTGTCACTATTATTAGTATTGTTATCTAAATAGAGAGGTTGTCTAGTTGATAATAAAGTACAAGTAGGATTAGATCGAAGCCAATTTTCATTGTCATTCCCCCCGTAATTTTGTTTGAATGATTGAACATTGTTTAAATAACGGTGAGTACATTGTGGTTGAGCTAAAATAGCTGAAACATATTCACATCTCAATTATATATAATGAAAGTAAATCATAATCAATAAATAATAGTAATTACATTATTTGATAGTGTTAATTTTGTCATAGTAAGTAGTTCACACGATATATTATGCATTATTACATTTTTCAATTTAACATGGGTTTAAACTATGATTATTGAAAATTATATTTAGTAAATATTGTCAGCAGTATAGAAGTGTCACACATCTTAAACTATTATTATTTTTTCTCCACTTCAGCTGTTAAAACTATATTCTTCGACCCCTTGTATTTAAGATATATGGATTCTGATATGTACATCTCTCAAGAAAGAAAATAATTCAGTTAATCCATTTTTTCTTCATCATAATAATCAGGAGGCACTTTACAAAAGTGCATGAATACGTAATGTTAACATTCATTATTATTCACTTCGAGGAATTTAGAACAGGAAGGTTAATTGGAATATTTGCACATTCGAAAAAATTAAGTGGCTCAAATATTTGAGCAAGGAGTTAGCTAATGAATTCCTAGAAATTTTTTTAACTTACAAAATAACTTTCACTAAAGATGGATACAATTAAGAAAGCAGCTATCTGTTTTTTTTTCAATGTCTGATATTATTTGGTTATTCAGTTTAAACATTTATATTTTTATCCAAATGATTTACAGTTTAAAGGCTAAACAAGTGTACTTAGTTTTTAAGATCTAAATTACACATAATCCTTATGTAAAAATAATACAGTATCTAAATTTTATCCAATTGAGTAGGATTATAAAAATCTAAACTGTTTCAAATAATTAACTAATAAATAATCTGTTTCTTATACTATTAATTTGTAAACGCCGTGGAAACAATCTCGTTGTCTCTAAGCAATATAAAAACCTACTCAAATATTCGCCATACTTGTGATTTTTTCGATATGAAACCAAAAAATATGGATCTTGATTTTTAACATTCAAATCAATACAAGTAAATTCATTAAGTATACTTTTTTAATTCATACTAGCTTCATATTTAAACTAAATAAAGTGTGCATGAGGATTCATTAACACCCTTAGTTTCCTGATTATTTTCGTAGTTAATGGAAAATTTCAACTAAAATGAAAGAAGACAGAACAGAAGCCTTTCATAACTGAAATGATTACAGGTAACTGATTCATAAAATCGAGAAAAGCTCCTTGATTTAAGTAATGAAAGAAGTGTTTATAAATAATAGCATACTGTGATTTTTCATCAAGCTTCATGAAGGATACTCAAAGCTGTGATGTTTTGTCCAGACGTTAATTCAATAGCGTTCTGCCAAATTTAGTGTTTTTAGTAGAAACGTTTGAATTCGTTTATCTTGGGTAGTAACGATGATTAGTCAGTCTTAATAAATTTGAAAGCTGAATAACTGATTTCTTGTAAGTTATAACACATCATAATCAAAATGAAGTTCACAATGAAACGTAGTCGTCAAAGTTTTAGGCAGGGATCTATACTGTTTCTTAAATATGCGTTGCTTAATCAAGTTCGGAGCATTGATTGACGTCTTGCTATGAACGCATATGACTAAACAAGTAGCTTATAAAACATGATGCCTAAATATGCTTCCTTGAACAACAAAGTGCGTAAAAAACACTGCATCCAAGGCTTTATAATTAATGGTTCTAACTAGTTTTGTAGAAAATCTATTCCTGAAACATCTTGAAAGATCAAATTAATTTACTATTTTAATCAACAAATTTCAGTGGGACTTCGTTATTAGGTTAAGATTTCTGGAACCTTGAAATGATGTAAGGATAGTAACCAGTGTACTTTTTTATTGTAAATCTCTTCTATCAACATGGTTTACTTTTGTTAGCAATCAAAGATTATTGATTTCATGAATAAGTGAGTTATTAAATACAATCATTCCTCGATTACTTGCTGTCAATAACAACCATGTCAATAGTAGTATTAGTAACATTCAAACGAGCGACTTGAAAAACTGTCCAATTTATTCCTTACTGACTATGCGCATGAAATATTCTGATTTTGTTCTCAAAAAGATAAAAGAACAATTATTACTAAGGTAAAAGATGAAAAGGACCAGTGAGGTAAACTAAAAATAAGTAGTTTTTAACTTAGTTAATAAGGGGATAAATTCACTTCATTTTCTTACTTTCCACGTAATCAGTGAAGTTGATAAACACATGGTAAACTACTTATATTTAGTATTACATTGATTTAAGTGTAACTTAAAGCCAACTTCATGAAGTTATTTAAAATGAGATTTTTAATCCTTCCTTAACGATATTTCATCAGATGTTTTAGAATGGAAGTTTTGAATTTCTTATTATATAACTGAACAGTTCAATAATGGATTTTGGTTTAGTTATCTAGGGAAACACAGGTTTCAAACTTTTCCTGTTATGGGAATATTATATAACAGCATGGAGTTGTGTAGGTTGTTGGATGTTTTTTGAGATCATGGACCGATCAATGTTATACCGCCGCGATAAGTCTGGAAACACTAGATGTTTAAACAGACATAATTACATGTGTATTTTATTATTAAAATGTGCTAGATTTTTATCAATACAAATTTGTTTCAATTTTCACTTTTACTTGAATTTTAAGTTTTAAGTAAAGTAATTCAATGAAATTATAACAAAATATTGTATTGCATATTTTATTACTCATGTTAGTGATAAAACACAAATGAACATTCTTCATAAAAAGAACAATGTAACTTTCCAACTGATTGCAACAGTGATAATGTTAATGAAATCAAGTTACTTGATTTGAAGTGTTTCAAACTTTAAAATGGTTAGTTTTGTATCAAAGTTGTTTGAAATCTCCACATTCAATGTAAAATATCTATTAAAATATAAATTAAAAGAGCTTTAGAACTATAAATTGGCAATATATTTCTGTTATTCTATTAAGTTTGTTAAGTTTGATTTGAAGTTTGCTGAAAAACCTTTGCATTAACATTGAAAAATTCATCTATTCTTAATAACTTTTCCTTCTATACAACGAGGTAGTTAATAGATTTTTACTAAAAAGTTCAGTAAATGCTTGGTAGTATTCTAATTCATAGGTTATGTACATTTCTAATTGTCCGACTTATTTTACTTGTATTCATTCCATTTAACTGTAAAAAATATTATTGCATGTACTACTTGTACTCACAGATATAAGTAGTGTGTTTCAGATACTGAAAGTAGAAATCTTACGGACAGAAAAGAAAAATGAGCAGAGAAAAGAAAACAGAAAGCAACTGAAATAATAACAGTAAAGAAAGAACACTGAAGTTTGTCAAGGACAACTCAAGAAAGATCGGCAAATAGTGCATAATGTATTGTTTTCATACTTTACAAATACAGTGGGTGATTTTACAGATTGTAATAAATTGGTTTAGTACCCAAGACTCCATTCATTGCACTAATTAAATTTTTAATTAAATCTTAATCCTACTTCATTGATGTTCAATGAAATAACTGGAATATATTGACAGTACACGAACAGTAATATCATTTGTTTATTAAATAACTTTTATGCTTCCTTGTTGAATATCTAATCTCTTATGATTTCATAGCTATCATGATGATACAAAAGTATCACGTTTTTTCCAATTTCTTTTGATTCTATGCGTCACGTAAACCCAGATATGTAGTCATTTTGAGATATTGGTACATAATTGACTTAACCGCGTAAAACAGCATGTTATTAAGAACCTTATGTTACTTGGTTCGAAAATCTATTTCCACTAAATATGCATCTAATCTACATTTCTTTAAACAAAAATAAGAAATTTGAAAAATAAAGATTACTTTATCCTCTCAATTTGTTACTTTTGATTTGGAGAAATAAACTGCTGAAGAATTTGTACAGTAATTCGGATTATGGAAGATTCTTTACGTGACTTGATCAAAAATCGAAAGGGGTCAAAGAAGGTTTACAGTCAATATGAAATGAAATGTTAAAATTAAGGGTCGGGCCAAATTATTTGAAAAATGCCAAATTTTATAGCTAAAACATTTATTTTTTTAGAATGAAATATTAGAAAGCTGATTGAATCATAAAGTAAAAACCGTAAAATCGATGTACAAAAGGATTATTTATTTTTGAAGGTAAGATCCCTTGAATATAATCAAGTTTTATTCAAGTTCATTTAAACTTACGTTCTATGAAATGTCCAGTATGCAGTAAGATACTGTAATCATTTGACTTATAGTTTTCATCCAAACTGCTTGGTCCAGACGAAAGAAGTGAAAGAGATACTGGAATACGAGTTGAGTAGACAGTTACATCATCCGATTGATGGTCGGATTTCATTGAAGTACTTGGTAATAATAATGGAGTTAATCTGCAGTCATCATCTATGTACGAAAGTATGAGAGATAAAAACAATCAGATTAAATGTTAAGGTCGAATGTTATACTTTTACATAAATAAATATTGAACATTTGTCATCAAAGTATTTAGCTAAAGAAATGTAAATATACGTAATTTGTACGGTCTCTCAACATTTTGATGAATTTCTGATCATTAGGAAACTTTGGATTCAAGCTGTATATGCAACCAAAGAGTCAAGTTCGTTTGACCAAACATGACAATTAACGATGTTAATGACAAGTCATTCGAATGCGATTATTTAAGTGACCGTACGGATATTTCTGTGATATTCTAGAAATCCCATAGTAAAAGACATTTTCTTTAAATGATATCCAGTGAACAACATTTGAATAAAAAAGCTTCAGTAGGCCGTTTGGAATTCAAAAGCTTTCATCATCACCTTGTATCTAACTGTAATGATTTTGTACCCATACTATACTTAATGCTTAAATCAAACAAATTTATAACTGACTTTTATCTATATATAACTTGAGTTTCAAAACGATAATCAATTAATTTGACGAAAAAGAGTATTCTTTCTTTCTATGTAGTATACATTACTTTTTTACTCATTAACAAATTAAGAATCTATAATTTAATGGTAAGTATTGTCCAAATTAATTTATCAATGCATTTAACTGAATCATCATATTCAGTTTCTTTCAGCCGTTTCTAATACTAGTCGGGACTGGGCGTCGTAGTAAACGGTGTTCAGGCATACGTAACACATAACCCAACCATCTTATTCGATGAAGATTCACAACCTTATCAACTGATTTACCATTATCCCCTAATACCCTGCGTCTAACCTCACTATTACTTACCTGATGATCCCAGCAAATGCAAACAATATTTCTAAGACATCTGTGATCAAATACTAGCATGAAAATTTATCAAATTTCAAAGAGATATCCTAATACATATTTTGTATACTTGTTTACTCTTTTCACTAATGCTTAGTTGTTTCGTTTTTTTGTAATCATTTTCTAAGATTTTGTTTTAAAAAAAGATTCATTAATGATTGTAATAAAAATTATTATTTTGGTTATCTTTTGTAAATTACCTTTGGTAGTGCAAAAGTTCAAATCATTTTATAGCATATAAAATTCTTTCATTCTAAAAATAGAATCAAGTAAGATTTTCCATAATGATCTAGCTTCAATTGACTCATAATCTCAACTCTTGAAATAATGTTGAATTTATTTTGCCTTTGTGGTTTATCTTTACTTTTTTATACAATGATTTAATGCATTTGTTTAAAAATCAATTTTTCTCATTAAGAAAAGAAGAAGAAGAATATCAGCATAGGGGTTGTGGAGATTATTAAGTTTTTGATTGAGATCATGAACCGATTGATGTTAGACGACCGTTGAAAACCTGGAAACACTGACGCATTCACGATCCCGCTCGTTGGATTCGAACCCAGGGCCCTCAGTCTCGCGCGCGAACCCTTCCAGGTTTCCAACAATGGTCTAAAATCAATCGGTTCATGATCTAAATCAAAAATAAGAAGACTAGTCGTTTTGTCTTTCTCACATTCTATACCTTTCGCCAAATTATTGATTAAGTTAATATAAATAAAAAGCAAGTGAAAAAATCCTAATGGAATGAATATAACAGAATGATAGACTACCGCTATCATTAATTTGTGTTCTTGTAAAATGTTTCACAAGAGTTTGATAAGAAAACCTCGATTTAGACATAGATAGAATCAAATATTTGACTCAAGATATAATTTTCTAGGTGAATGTCAAAACTTTAGAATGTTATTCCTCTTTTCTATTTAACGCATGATTTATGGAAAAAAATGATGTAACTGTTAAAATAGAAATTATTTTCCCATAATACTTGATGAAATGATAAGTCAAACAATAGCATTCTAACGGTGATTATTGATTTATAATTAACCTACCTCTTAGTGTCTTTTATTCTTTCAGTGTCAAATAATAAGTATCTGTGAATAAGACCAAGGTTACATTAAGATTCATCTTTAAGGTGATAACTTGTCTACTTACATATAAACGATGATTTTATGATATTCCTTTCGATAAAAACTTTAGAAACATTTATGCGCAGTATACTCATGGTGACTTTAAGAACGCAATACGCTGAAATATTTTCATATGAAAGGAAGTAAAAGTGACAGGTAGAAATGAACCATGCACCAGTGGATTATAATCTGAGCACATAATCATCCATAAATCTGTCTTAAAATAACGTTTAATATAGCAGAAAAGGATAAAAACAAGAAATATATCTATATTTTATAGTTAACTTCAAGGACTGATCTTAGTTAGACAGCCACTGAAAATCAGAAAGCACTGGAAAGCTGTTTCGTTCCAGTGTGGAGTTCTAATGAGAAACCGTGGGCAGCATAGGTCACATGCATTGAATGTGAAGCAGTTATCTATTAAGTACATTGAAAGATGGTGTCCGCAATATTGCGAACTGACTGAAGTTGTACATCTAAATCACTTGTTGCCGGCTCAGCAGTTTAGAGTTAGGCGTATGTGCATGGGATGTCAAGTCTTCAGTTCGACTACCGGTGGCGTAATCGGGGATAATCAGTGTTGAGGGGTCCCACATCAGTTTCCTAGCACCCTCTAGTTGTTTGACCAACATCATATAATGATGTTAACTGTAAACTGAACTCACAAATCCCGTATTGTAATGTTCTTATATGTCTATCATAAAATTTGTCATTCAATAGAATTTTATTTTCACCATATATACATTTAAAAAATATGATGTATAGAAAAACAGAAGGCCAGTTTCGCAATAAAAAATGATTATTTTCCTGTCAGATTTATTGGACTGAGTTTGTATCGATTAGGAATGTTGAAATACAAAAGTAGTTTGCTTGATTTTGACAACTGTTCCAGAGTATCAGTATGTATTTCATTTTTATAGGTAAATAGTAAAGTCTGCTTTTAATAATTAGCACTAAAATTTTGACATGAATAAAAATATAAAGAATACTTATAAATTATTTCAGTTATTAAGTTCGACATCTTAGGATAGAATAAATCAAAATGTACACAAAAATTTGATCAATGACTTTTAGCTAGAAATACTAATTAACCACTTGTGGGGTTTAGGTCTCTTAGCTAGGTGGTTGGTTACTATTGACAATAATCAATCAAAAATATAATATTAAATAAAGCTAACAATAATAAATTCAGAAATCAAGATCAGTTAACATTCGCTTTATCAGCACTTTTATGAAGGATACTTTGTTTAGTATTAAAATCACTTAAGTTTGATAAAGAAAAACTTATAACGAAGTAAAAATGTGATAATCGGCAAGGAAAATTGAATGGAACCTCACATGGTAAGCCACAAATCTTCACTATCACATAATTAACTGATATCAAACTGTATTTTATCACATTGGTGTATTTTAGTGACCAGTTAGAAGAATAATACACTATTAGTAAGATACTTATTATGTATTTCCTGTTTAATAACTGGGCAAGTATATGTTCACTATTTAAACTAAATTATTTTATTAAGTCAAAAATGAACTTTCATTTATAATTTTTTTTAAAACCACGTCGTATCATAATAACCATGTTATCTACTATTGATTCATGAAAAAAGAACTATGCTGTTCAATAATTATAAAACTAAGATTTGTTACATTCTACTTATATTACTTAGCAAAGTGTTACAGTTCAAATGGACAGATGAATTTAGTTGGTCAACCGTTAAATTATCCTCAGTCTAAGATAGACAGTTATTTTAGTCTGTATTAAAAAAACAACAACCCTGAAATCTATAATTTATTATACTTTGTCTCTGTGTATTTCTTTATGTTTGTGTCTATTATCACCTTACTTACTCATTCATTCATCCACTCACATGCAAACTATCTCTCTTTCTATGTCTTTACTGAATAAGAGTTATATTATTCATAGTAAGTCTACTGAATTCAATGCTATGTTTAACTACCGTGACCAAAATAATAAATAAATCAACAAACAACAACAAATCTCAGGTTATTAAGTTGCTATTATTATTTTTTCGAAGAAAAAAAAAGAGGAAATAATTTATTATTTTCATAAGTTACTAGAAATTATTTATTGAATTTGACTGGGAGTGAGCAAGATCCTTCAGTGGGCGTAGTTTTCACGAATCTTTTCAAAAAAATAAATAAAGTACGATAAACTATATCATTTAATTCACTTGGTATTGTTTGGCTTGTATCTTCCCATTGAGGTTTAAGACTGCAATTGATCAGTCTGTTATTGGCATATGTGCATACTGTGCGTATGCCTCGATATTACCCTAATTCATAAGCTATTTGTAAGCAATGATGGATAGTGGATAGTTCCGGAGTGAACATCAACTCTCTGAGATGCAGGTATATCCAGCTGACGAGTCCCAAATAGGACGAAACGCGCGTCCTGGATTCCACTGCTAGCCACTATCCATCATTGCTTATATCATTTAATATTAGATTTCCTTTATTATTATTATTTGATCACTATGAATTTTAATGAATTTAATTTTATCGAGAGAAGAAAATGTTCTAAACTTTTTAAATATAAATATCGTCAATTGATAGTTGTCTCTAATATTTCTTTTCAATCGAAATTATACCGTTTAAGTCAGTTTATGAGAATGATAATTTTGACACTAATAATAATAATAATAATAATAATGCTATTTGTTAAAGATGATAGTATTGATTATTGATGTTAACAAGCAATCAGAGTAGATATAAATCACCATTGATCAGTATACTACTCATTTGTTTTAATTAATTAAAATGGATATTATCATGTTTAAAACAGGAAAATTAGTTTTCTTTTCTTGTTGTTGTTGTTGCACCATCTAGATAAAAGTAAATGACTAACACATAAATTGAAATGTTTACTTAAAGATAATTCAAATCTCTTTGTTATGTAAAAACAATTTATAATTGTGCGTTAATATGTTAAAACATTTTAAGGATGTTCCATTCAGTTGCTTCACCTAATAAATAGTAAGTTTAATGAAAATGGAAAAATAGGGAAAAAATCTTTGGTTTGATATTATCATTAAAACAAAATAAAGATCTAATCAATTTGTAGTAAAGTTTCATGATAGACTAGGATAAAGAAGGAAATCAAGATACACTGAATATATATATTTCATTTTTATTTGTTGCCACTTAACAACATACATCCCTCAAATACATGTATAACGAGATAGAAGTGTTTTCTGATTATGGGTAATTTGCAACTTAATTTCAGTTTATGGTAAAAATAATTTTAAAATCAGAATCATTTTGGAAAGTTTTTTTAAATATAGATTTATTGTGAAAACATGATTTTTTTGAAACCCACCAATTTTTTAGTAATTGATTGATTCCATTAATAACTTAATCAAAGTATCATTTTAGCAGATTCCTCAAACAAAGGGTAGAGATTAGGATTAACAAGCTCGTAGATGAAGTTTAATTTGATGGTAAAACATTTTCAATATTAACGTGGCTTTATTGTATATTCAATAACTTTGTAGTGAACACATTCCTCCTGCCTATTGTCATATTTTACACCTCAATCGAAGAAATCAAAAAGTTCAAACTCGAAATGAGATGATTAAAAAGCAGTTATAGTCGTCAAAAAGTGCTAGACTTTTATATTTCAGTATAATATTTTTGAGCTTTTGTGTGTCTGTTAAGACTTTACTAACTCAGAAGTTTAAATAGATTAATGTACCAAAACCAAATCCATTTTTATTTTAACAGATGAGATCATGAGTCAATTGAAGCTACGCCACCATGGAAAACCTGGAAGCAGTGGACGGCCGTTTCATCCAGTTGTAGAACTCCTCAGCAGTGCGCATCCACAATCATGCCTCACAACATTCGGACCTAGGACCTTTAGTCTCTTGCGCGAAAGCTTAATCTCTAGATCACTGGCATCACCGGCATCCAACGTTGTTTTCAGGTTTTACACGGTGGTCTAGTTTCAATCAACTCATGATCTCATTTATTAAAATTACTATAATATCCACAAAACCTCTTCTAATACCAATTTCTATTTGTTACTAAATTCTTATTAACTTAAATCTAGAAAACTATCAACCAATAACAACAACTACCATCTACTATATATAAACCATCAAGATACATTTTCCAGTGTATTTGTCTATACACTGAACGATTTATTTTTATAAATATGATACAACGGCATTGTTTCGAGTTGATTGTGATTCTGAGTTTGACTTGATTCATTCATAAGATTATTTGTGTTCTATATCTTATCTTGTCATTTTATTTGTTTAAATTTCTAGGATTCCCATTATTTGGTATTTATTCAAATGAATGATTTAGACGTAATAAAATAAATTTCTAAAGTTTTTGATGATTTTATTCTTTAACTGTTTTA